AATGGCCTTCCATGCCTTGGTAAGAGAGAAATATGAATGGGAAAAAAAAGAGAACCCTTTTCTTTGTAATTGCTGCTCACGCAAATGGACTGATTTATTACAGGATTCCGAGACATCGGTCGAGTTTTCTTGGGCTCCACTGCTTGTGGAGCTGAAGAAAGGAGCTGACTACAAGAGGGTCTTGCATTTGGATCTGATTGAGGAGAATGCAAGATATTGGAGAGGTGTTGATGTTCTTGTGTTTGACTCGGCACACTGGTGGACTCATTCTGATCAATGGAGTTCGTAAGTATATTCGTATCGAACACATAACTGTATTCAACTCTCGTATCTAAGTTCGAGTAACATAAATACCGATTGCTCGGAGCAGTAACTCATGGCAAAATTGTCTTCCAACAACAAATATACAGGTGGGACTATTACATGGAGGGAAAATCTCTCTATAAAACCATGAATCCAATGATTGCATACCAGAAAGGACTCATAACAGGTACTCTATGTTCCTTTATATCTCCATGCTTTCTTAAACAAAGCTGATTCTTTTTCTCCCCTTTTTTGTTCATCGCAGACAAAATGGGTGAAAATGCTATAACCAGATAACTCCCCTTCAAATTTTCAGCCACCCTCGTGTTCCTGAACAAGTTTTAGTACTTAAAGGGGTGTTAAGAAGAATGGGATTTCCAGTATATCTACATGACATTACGACGATGTCGGCTTTTCGAACAGACGGGCGTCCTTCTGTTTATAGAAGGGAGTTGAACCAAGCACAGAGGCGGCACCCGATGGAGTTTTCGTCCGACTGTAGCCATTGGTGCCTCCCTGGGGTGCCTGATATTTGGAATGAGATGTTGAGTGCAATGCTCTAAGAAAGTCACCAATGGTGAACTTGTTTTAACCGTTTCTTCCAAAAATGTAGTCTTTGAGAGGTGACTGTGTATCTGGCATGCTCAATTCAGTAAAACCATCCGTTTATTCGTGTGCTGATTGAGTGTTCATGTTACTTGAGGAAATGTTCTGCAGTTTTTTTATTTCGTTTTTTCACCCTGCTTACAGTATGTGTTTGTAGTGGAACATAAACTGTCCAGGACCATATGTGAAGTACGAAGGACGGTTCCATAGTTGTAATCTATGTTACTCCATTTGATTTCCTTTTTATTTTCTTTGGTACAACACTTGTATTAGACATGCGCCACAAATACAAGGACATGATGCTCTAAATATATAAAAACTTTTAAAAATGAAATAAAACAATATAATCTTAATCTTTTACCTGAAATTTTGTCAATTTATGTATTTGCATCATGATACTATTTAAATCAAGTTGCCCCCTAAAATATTTTTCGAGATGTTTTGTTTCTCTAAGTTTAAATCGTTACCTCATTTACCCCAAATCGGTTAAAAAAACATGTGGGTAAATTACATATTTAGTCACTCAACTATTCATGTGATTCTATTTTGGTCTTCAAACTATTTTTATTTCCAAAATCATCACTGAATTAATTTTTTGTTCCTTTTTGGTCACTCAATCCAATCTGGTTTATTTTAAAACAAATGGGTTGATCGGATACCCTATTTCTTACCTGATATGCGTTGTACCAGAAACGTGTCGGGTTCGGGAGTCGGTTACGATCAAGGAAGGATTAGCACCCTTGAACCGCCCTTTCGGTATCAATTAATTTATCGGTTGTCTTTAATTGCGAAAATTAAAAATTTAAATTTAAATTTAGAAATCCGATTCGAATTACTTACATTTGATTAGTTGAAATTCTTCTACAAATAAAGAGTTGAAAATGTCAAATAAAAATAATAATAATCAAATTAAAGCAAAGTAAAAAATAATAATAAAATAATAAATAATCAAAGGGAAAAAAAGGTGCAAATATGAATATAAATCAAAGTGAAAAATATTAAAAAGAAATGACAAAATAATAAGGACATAAAAATGAAATAGGATAAAAGTGAAAAAAATGAAAAAGGAAAATAAAATAAAATACTAAAAAACAAATATTAAAAAAATGTTAGCGTTTAAAAGTAATGAAATAAAATAACAATAAATAAATAAATAAATAAATAAATAAATAAAAACTAAAAACAATAATAGAAAAAAATAGGAATTAAGGGGACCAAATTGAAACAGATCAAAACTTATGGCTTAAATCGAAATTAGGAAATGGGGTATGGTGACTAAAAAGTCAAGCTAAAAACTCACAGGGACCGCGGGTGAAGTTTACCCAAAAATGAAAATTATAGAAATACCCCCACCCTAAAACGACGTCGCATGGTGGATGTATAAATGGCCGAAATTTGGCCCAAAATTCTTCAAACCTCTCATTTATCCCAAATGTTCTCTCTCTACACAAAGGAGAGAACTAAGTTCTCTCTGGCTTCTCTCTAGCTAGCCTCCACCCAATCGAATCCCGAACGCCGTGAATCGCCACCGAAAATCGCTCCGGCCGCCACCTCCGACGATCGGGTAAACCCAAATTACACCACGAGCTTTTTTTCATCACCCCCAAACCACAAACGAAACCCAAACTATCAAAAAACACCTTTAACGCCGTAGATCTAACCCGAAAGATTAAATGTTTTTATTACCTTTGATGATGACTCCTCTGCTTCCCTGGAAACCGGAAATGCCTTGATTTTTGCTTATTTGTTTCTGATTTTTGCTGCGGGGCTTCGGCCTTTGGTTTATTGTTGTTTTAATGCTGTTTGGTTGTTTTGTGTGGGTGTTTGTCTCGATTCTTTGGTGTATTGTTCTCGTCGTTGGTACTGTGGTTCTCGTTGTTATCCCCCCTTCTCGCCGTGGTTCTGATGATATTTATAGGCCTTCATCGGCCGTTGGTTTGTTTCGAAATTCGGGGCTCTCGTGGCCGTTGAGGCCGGACCCCCCGAGATGGGTCAGTCCCGGGGATCTCGGCCGGCCGTTGACACTGATGACTGTTTGGCTCCCTGACTTTGCGGCGTGAGAAGGGTTGAATGAAACCCTAATCCTTTGCAACCTTGACCGTTGATCTCCATCTTGATCCAACGACTATGAACTGTGCGATGCTGGACTTAGATGAAACCCTATCTTACTACTGGGCTGGTTCAGGCCCAATGTTTGGACCAGAGTTGGACTGTGACTTATTGGACCCAAAACAGACCTGAAAACAAAATAAAAAATAAAATTAATTAAAGATAAAAAGATAACAATAATAATAATAATAATATATAATATAATATACATTTTCAAAAATATTTAAAATTATATATTATATGTTTTTTGAAAAATGTTTTCAAAATTATATAGTTTTCAAAAATGTTTTTAAAACTATATATTATAAGTTTTTGAAATGATTTAAAAACTATATAATATATATATGTTCTTCAAAATATTTTTTAAAAAACTATATATATTTTCAAAATGTTTAAAAACTATATAATATATATTTTTAAAAAAATGTTTTAAAAATTATATATTATATTTATTTTCAAAATACTTTAAAAACTATATAATATATATACTTTCAAAAAATATTTAAAAACTATATATTATATTTATTTTCAAAATATTTTTAAAAACTATATAATATATAAATGTTTTCAAAACTATATATTATATATAGGTTTTTAAAAATATTTTTAAACTAATATATATATATATATAATGAGACGAAAATGAGTGTATACAAATATATAATAATTAATTTATATCACATATTTTTTACTCAAAATATATTTTAATTTATAATAATAAATAATATTATAACATAAATAATAAATAACATATTCAATTGTTCAAACTTCAACCTAGCGACCAAATACAAACAAAAGGCCTGCTTTGGAACAATTCTAAACACACTTTATCCGTGGAGGACAAATTGGTGTGGAAAGGAGCTCCGTTAAAGGATTACCCATCTGGAACAATCTATAAAAACAAAACATTTAAGGGTTACTTTGCAGGACCCGATGATGATGGTTCCTATGCTGTTCTTGCCTACTAAGTAATGGACGAGGGTATACGGTGGGTTGTTGCCTGGGAAAACTTTAAAGATACAAACAACAAGGTATATATTGCATTACTCATCTTTTCACATCCACGTAGTTACACACAATAAATTAGGGTAAACTACACTCGTTGAATTTTTAGGATCATTTCATTTTGGTCACCAAATTTTAAAATTTACATTATAATTGCTAAAATTTTAATTTACTTTCATCAGTCATTATTGTTAAAAAAAATGCTTGTCGGTCAAATGCTTAAAGTTTTAATAAAATAAATATAATCAAAGTTGAATGATGAAATTTGTAGTTTATACTATATAAACATCAATTGCATCTACATGCAGCTCTATACTAATATCATAGATGCACCTGTTGATTGGGATAACGTCACAGACATGCTTGATACAGAAGGGAGCGTAGTTTATGACATTGACAAACATGAATACAAGCTGAAATCAAAATTGATGGCAAGAGCGATTCGCCAAAAAATGATAGCAACCATCGAGCCTGACGCTGTGTCTAATATGGCCGAATGAGGGGTAGAAGTAGGGCGATTTTCGCCTGCTCATCAGGCTGAGGCTGAGGCTGTGAAGCTCAATAATAATGTGCTTTCAAGTCATGGCCCTTTAAAATCACGTCCTTGCCATACTTTCATGCATACATGCGTGGATATTGTTACATACACTAAATGTGGATTCAAATAAACCGAGAGGCCCTCTTTTAGCTTATCTGATCTAGTTACGGTATACTGTTACAAAATATAATTAAATTTAGTGATGATTTTGAAAATAAAAAAATTTTTAGAGCTTAATATATTATGTGTTGGAAAATAGTACTATGATCAAATAAAATAATTTTACTGTGTTGTAGCATAAATCACTACATTAAAAATCCAATATACTCTCATATTCGCACACTCAAATGAGGGATGTAGAATCCAATTAGTATGCTTCTTTCTCGAAAAAGAAAGGAATATTATTGGAAAATTTTTCAAGAGATAAAACAGGAGAGTATCGGAGAAGAGAATGGACTGTTTTCATATATCCAAAGGACGAATTTTTGTAAACAACGTTTAGTTTCATATGGGATGCAGGTCGCCTAAGTGTGTGTGAAGTTTCGAGAAACATCCCAGAACTCATTGTGCAACATGAACCTATATATCTAGAGAGAGAAAGTTTTGATAGCCTGAGCTCCCATAGGAATGGGTACAAGAGAACCAACGAATTTGGTTTATAGGGTACATCTTCAAGTACTAATAGCTATCAATATCGGTTTCCGGCCTTCTAAGGTAATAACGCAGGCAATTCACCAGCACCTGCAAGATATGCAGTTAAAATTTAAGAGCAAAGGAATCACAAAAATCCAGCAGAAACATTATTTATTTTTCAAAACGAATGGCTCCATTCGAAAAGTAAAAGAACAGTTGATACTTGGGCAACTGAGAACAAGCAATTCGATATTGTTGAGAAAATAGATTGTCAGACTTAACAAATACCTGACACAAGGAACTATTTAAAGGTGCTCCTCTGTAGCTAACGTGAAACTTGTCTTTCGCCACTAATCCCTGTATAGTACACAGAACAAAAGGAGGTGAAAAAAGTTGCAGAACCAAATGTTTCAGTGTGCATACACAGACTCAAAAACAGCGAGATGGATACCTCCGTATCAATTTCTGCGGATTCTACATCAATGTTGACATCAGCAATGACTTTGATTATCTCTACCAGCAGTCCAGGTCGATCTGCTGTCTCTACGGAAAGCAAGCTGGTAACACAGGGAGCAAATATATAAGCTGATTATATCATAATGAATTAAAAATATCCCAATATGTGATCTAAACAGTAGAAAGCTGTGACTTATGAGCTGAAATCCATTTCCCATAAGAATATATTTTGGAGAGCAAACCTCCTCTTGGGTCCATCTTCCTTGATACGTATACGAGTAGCAATGTCCACATCAAGCTGCACCAACAAATTTCTAGAGGCTTAGGTTCAAAGTTCATAAGATCCCAAACCCACATAGTGCTTGCAACAACTCTTTATGAACTAATCAGAAAGCACTTTCATTTTTGAAGCCTGATCTAATCTTGATGACATCAAGATGTGATTTTGCTTAGACTGGGGGGGGGGGCAGGAAAAACCAAACTTAAAAAACTATTAAGATTAATTGTCCCCCATTCTATGTCAAAAGAACCAAATTTAACCGACAGGGATTGGGTTGGTTCAAGTGGTAAGCAGCGTGATATCGCTTAAGCAAGGTTTTGAGTTTGAGTCCTTGTGTATGCAAAAAAATCCCACCAAAGCCAGGTGTGCGACGCGGGTCGATCCGAATTAGTCAAGGCGAAGCCTTGGAACTAGAAGGGCAACAACAACAACAAAAAAGAACCAAATTTAATCCGTTCAAAGGATTCAGCTCTGGTGGTAATCAGTTTGGACTAAGAAATACTCTGAAAAGAACTAGAACACCATTTTGAATCCTAGTTAACTTGAATTGAATTACCAGTTTTGAAACGGCACAAAGTTTACAATCAGTTTGCAATCCATTCCAATGTCATAAAAGCAAGAGGCAACATTCAATCTAAGATAATCAAAGTATAAAAATCATGATTCCAATTTTGTACAAAATAATTATGTCACCTTCTTCTTTGGAGCCTTTACTCCAAAAGCCTCACCCATAGCAAGTAGCACACTAGATTCCTAGCAAGTCAAATTCAAACCAGGATATGTGAAAAAAATTAACAACTACATAATAATGTTTATACTTTGACAAGCCATAAGATTGACCATCCATGAGAGAAAGAGAGGGGGAGAGAGGGGGAGGGAGGGGAGGGAGAAAAAGTCAGAGTACGAATTCAGCATACATACTGGATGGTACTTCAAAAGATTGTTTATAATGGTGAGTCGAATTCTCTCTAACATATCAGGATCCTCAATTTTGCGCCCATTGTCTCTAGCATGAACAAACCAATTAATCTCTCTGAAGTAAAAAGAAAATTTTGAGAGAATTTATAAGGACAGTGATACATGCTGTGAGAATGATATTGATGTTTAGTTTTGAATATATCACATACTCACTCACTCTCTCACACAAACAAACAGTCACTCCTATCAAATTCCAATTATGTATTATCACCCACTGTGAAGGAAAAATATAAAATGCAATATTTAAAAGCCAAAATGAGTATGATAGATATTCAGCAATGAGTATGATAGATATGTTGTGACTGTTCAAGCTAATGAGTATGATAGATATTCAGCAACTTGTTATCAAAACATGCTCAAAGAGGGCAGCACAAGAAAATTGAGTCATAACAGTTGTAACAACTACTCACGATCGCGTGATGAAAAATTTTGTTTGTTTGACTAGTCCTTCAGTAACAACAGTTCCCTTTGCAACATCTAATCCCAAATCTTTCAATGCTCTCATCTGCCCAAGAAAAAAGATACTAAACAAATCAACAAGGAAAGAGGGAATTGCCAGATTTATCATTGCCTTTTTTTCTCCCTAAAATGAAATAACCAGAATCTATAACCTTAAAAAATAATGTAAATTGGAATCAAGACCGTTCGTTTGTGTAACACAAGGAAACACTGCTACCAGCATCCATATTACCTAATTATCTGAATCATCCAAATTTACTTAAACAGAAGTGAACTAACCACATGCACATAACAACCAATATTAACAATATTCCTGGATGCCAGCTTTATAAAAGAGTCGAAAAAAATGCAATCAGATAGTACTTTAAACAAACTGAGGTGAGGAGGTCTCTTACCTAAACATAGACAACTCAGTTACTAAATAAAACAAAGAATAGACAAAATAAGTCACATAATTGGCTTGGCGAGTAATCCCAGAAAAATAAGCTTATAACATTTTGAAAGGAGAAATCAATATAAGTTCCCACTTAACTGTATCAATGAGAGCACCCAGACGATCTCCAAAACTCAGCTGCACAACTGTTGCTTCTGGATCTGAGTCTTGATCAATCGAAACAATTGGCATTGGAATACAATCATCATCTTGGTCAGAATCCTGCATCATTATATATGCAGTGTGACGCAGAACAAAAATATGCTCAACAAGGGATTCATATATTTAGATTTTATGATAATTTTAGCATCTAGAAGAAAGGAATGTTAAAGATAGTGAAATAGTAATTTTGTCCATTCAGCTGTAAAAGCACAGTTCATGACATGGGTCATAACCTAGAAACACATATTTTTCGAGCTACAATATCTTTTTGAAGCGACTCAGCTAGGTGCATCTTTAAGAAGATAAAATATTCTCTTTGATTTAATTCATCACTCGTATTTGAGAACCACATTTCTTTCAGTTGTGGCTTAACCCCTTTACTGCAATTTCCTAATGAATCTACACAAATATGGATCTGTAACATTAAATAACCTTTCTTTTTTCCTTCTTTCGCAATTTTTTGGTTAAACTTAAAAAATATATATTAAAATCGGAACAGAAGAGCTACACCATTATGCATTCGAAAAGAAACACTGAGATTATTCATCTTAGTAAAACAAAATGATGCCTCCCAATCCATATGTCAGTTAAGTGAAAGATGAAACAAGAAGATGATTCTTTACCCATGAAAATGAATTAAACGAGTTGAAACCACTGCTAGCAACATTAACAATGTACCTGCGTGGACAATATTCCAAAAGGTAAATAAACCGAAAAAGAAAAAAGAATAGATAGATTGTCGTTATCTTACTTCCTTGCAGAGAAATCGGCCTCAGTGCCGCACTCAGAAAAGTTGAAGCGGAATTTGGAGGGATCAAGAGAAGTGAGAAGAGGTGCGAAGCCGGAACCGGGAGCTGTGGGACGACGGTGGACGAAGGGAGAAATAGAAGAAGAAAAAGAAGGAAAGGAAAGGGAATTAGACAACGCCATGGACTGGAGGTTGAAAAACTTTCAATGATCAAATTCAGGGGGCGATACCCATTTTATAGGCGAATTGCATTTTCCATTTTTTTAATATTTGGGATATGTCATGTACGGACGACTTAATATTAAAAATGTTAATATTTTTTTAATATTTAAGATGATTTACTGTCTAAAATATTATTTTTTTAATGAAAATATTAATATTAGTCGTTATTTAAAATATTTAATATTTTTAATAAAATGTTACTTAAAATATTATATTTTTACACAAAAAAATGTTAATATTAAATATTACCTAAAATAATCTTTTTTTTACATGAAATTATGTAACGGAATTAATATTTTTAATAAAAAAATAATATTTTAAATATGGATTTACCGAAAATATTTAAAAGATATTAACATTTTGTGTATGACATTTCCGTATATTAAAACTGTTTTATAACAGTAATACCATGTGAGAGTTTGGAATGGTTACGTGACGTGGGACCTACACAGTGGTTGTTTGATCCAGGTGAGTATATTGCTTTTCCTTTTTTTATTTTTTTAATAAAAACTGTTTTTTTTTTCTCTCTAACTTTCTTCTAAAAATTTTAATGATCAAAATAATTGCATCGTTGATGTTTATTTAATTATTTTGTTAATTTCTATCTATTTTGTATGTTGTGATTAAATTATAATAAAGTTAATTATTTATATGTTATTATTGCTACATATATTTTATATTAATTTGATGGTGATTGATGTTTATTCTTTTTCGTCGATATTAATATTTATTATTTTTTTTAATTTGTTTGGTTAAAATTTTAGTTATTTGTTTATATATTTTTATTTTTAATGAAAAAAATTTGCATTTCAATAGTTTAAGGAACATGATCATTTGCTGCGATTTAGTTTATTCGAATTTTACAGATTTTATTGTAATTTATTATATTTTTATTTATTTATAAAATTAATAATTAGAATAAACTACGCATTTATTACATAAATGATTAGTTTTAGTCTGTTTTAATACGTAAGCTTTTAATTATCCCTCGACTATTGGATAATGCTTTATTGAGTCCCTTGACTATGAAAAGTTACAAAATGGTCCTAGACTATAAGGAGTTACTTTGTTGCATCCCTCAACTATTAAAAGTTATAAAATGATCATTTGACTTTTCATTATGTACGAAAATCACATTTTTGTTAAAAAATTGAAGACAATCTGAGTTGTACGTTAACCTGATGACTTAGATTTGATAAAATCTGGTCTCATAATATCAAATGACTATCATATCTCAGTCAATATGCTAACGTTCAACTCAGGTAACCGTTAATTTTTAACAGAAAATAACAAGTTAGGAACATAATGAATAGTCGAATGATCATTCTGTAACTTTTAATAGTCGATGGACTTAACAAAGTAACTCCCTATAGTCAGAGAATTATTTTTTAACTTTTAATAGTCAATGAACTAAATAAAATAATATCTTATAACTAGGAATTTGTGTACTTTACCCATAATTTGTTAAGGCAAAATGATAATTTTTACTCATGTAGTAGACTCAATTTATCACTTTTTGCCCTATCATGTTTTCTCATCAATTTAATCATCGAAATTGCTCAATTGCATCATTTTATGTCACACCCTAACTTAAAACCCTAAATTATAAAGCCTAACCCCTAAATCACAACCTCTAAACCTCTAAACCATAAATTCTAAATCATAGACCATAATTTAGGGGTTTAAGTCAGGAGTAGGATATAAAATAACGCAACCGAGCAACTTTGAGAGTTAAATTGATGCGAAAACACGATATGAGCGAAACTGATAAATTTGGTCGACTACAAGAGCAAAAGTGACCCTTAAGCCATTTTTAAGCATGGTTTAATACTGTAATATTCTTAAAATCTAAAATAAATCATTCTTTCTTGATTCACAAAGGAAAAAATACTCTAAAAATGACTCCTCAATCCTATCCTTTATCTTTTGTCTATATAAATCATTTTTAAATGTTATGACACCTGGATAAAAAATAAATTAAAAAATGATCAAACGATCGAAATGTGCCAAAAGAAGAAGAGAAAAACGTATCATAAAGACAAATAAAAAACGTGTCATAAATATAGAGTCGTTAAAAATTTAAAAAAAAAGATGTGATATAAAAAATAACGAGAAAATAAAAAAATATATGTATTGTCCCCTAAAATGTTAAAAATTTTTCCTTCACTCTATCCCTGTGTTGGAATTATTTCGAAAAAGTGTTAAAATTTAATATCATAAATAATATTTTTTTTAAAAATAATTTAACTCTTTTAGAAACCGGCCAAATTAAATTTAAAAAGGGTCAATTTAATAAAAATCTAAAAGATGAAGGTTAAATTTATTATTATATATCTATATAATTTATAGATGAATTCTACATAGATGTGTTAAAAATACCGATTTAAAATATCTGACCTATTGATTTATCGATCTGGTAGAAAATTTTGAATATTTTTCTTGAAAAAATATTTCCACGGGTCGAGTGTCCGGTTCGCTGAAAATTAAGGGTGCGCGAATCAAACTCGAGCCACAACATTTAGTTTATTAAAATACCCAAAGGCCCTATTCTTAATTTATTTTTATTTTTATTTTAAATTACCAATTTTTTACCACAAAATGAAATCTCGAGTTTTAAAATCCATAATTTCAAATCAGATTATCACTCAAAATAAAATACAATAAATTAAAATCAGATTATAAAAGAAAGGTCTTTAATGTACTTGAGGTTGGGCTTTGTTTCATGGTGATGATGACAAAGAAAGGTCTCTAATGTACTTGAGGTTGGACTTTATTCGTTTATTTAAATGTCTTTATAGGATTAATAGAGTATTTGATAATTTTGTAAAGCTATAACGTTAGTTTGAATGGAATAATGGTATGTTGTGATAGACAAACTCTTGCATATGTGCTTTATTTGTTGGGATCTGAATGCATGTTAAATGTATTTTGATGTTAAGATTTGTCCTTAGAGGTTGCTTGATAGTTAAGAATGTGTTCAAGAGTTTCTTGTGATTTAAGAAGACTAATCGTGAATTTGTCCTAGGAGGATTGCTACCATGAGGAGTGCAGACCATGTCAAAAATCCAACAGCATGCAGTCGACTCACGGATGTGTGCCGTCAACGGAGAATCGCTACCCGTGTTCTACTTATATCCAATCGCCGGTAATGCTTCTCTGTTGTCCGATTCCACAATTATTACCTGAGCTCCAAGTTTGAAAGCCATATTCAGACCTTCGTAGATGCCCCACAACTCGGCATCAAAGATCGAGCAAATACCAAATGACTTCGAGAAACCTGTTAACCAAGTACCTGTTGCGTCGCAAATAACTCTCCCACATGTACTCAATCCCAAATCTGTACACTTAGAGCTGTCCGTGTTAAGCTTCCACCACCCTAGTTGGGGTGGAGACCAAACTGCAGCTGGGTTCTTGTTCCTCGCCCTTGAAGAATTGAGGAGACAATCCCGGATGAGGCCTTGAAACATGCGCATGCTCTTTTGGATTACAATTTCTTGTTCAAAAAAATCTGGTTCGAAAATCACCTTGTTTCGTCGAAGCCAAAGGTTCTAAAGAATCAGACTGAAATTGCAGGTAATCCAACTAAGCATATCCAGCTTGAAAATTCAGCGATGCGGTCGGGTTTTAGGAAGCTTCTCCAAACTGTCCTAGCTGGAATGCAATCTCAAAAAATATGCAGGGAGGATTCCACAGAGGCACCACAACTCGGACACCCTGTATCGACTGAGAGATGTCGTCTGGCCCGTTCCTCATTCAATAGGAGGCTACCCCTATAGGTAATCCAAAGAAGATTTTTAACTCAAGGGGAACCATTATATTCAGAAATTAAATTCCAAATAGCCTCTTCATCACTCAACACCATATTCAATCTTCGGTTGTAGACACTCCTCGTCGAAAAACACGACTATTTTCCCATCTCTAACCAGGGAAGTCCGAACCTCCATTAAGATGAGGAGGTTTCGTTGCTACCAGGTTTAAATGAGCTGAGGTAGGGAGATAGGTCATAATATCACTTCACCGGCATTCACCATTTTAATCAACAAAGGCAACCACCTTGGCGTCCTGTGGAGCTTGGCTTCCTTGTGCAAGACAAAGTTCACGCAATGGACCAAAGTCACCAAGCCACGGGTCATTCCAAAAATCCACCGTGGAACCATTCCCCAAATTCCAAACAATTCCATTCCAAACTTCCTCCCATATAAGACTAAGACCTGCCATAATCGAGAATAAACATTCTTCGTAATTGAAGCAGGAACAATTTCATGCATCTTATATTTACTCCGAAATACCCGGGCCCAAAGTTGATCTCGGTTAGACACCAATCGAAATCCAACTTTCATCAAGAGAGCTTCACTTTGGACTTGCAGGTTCTGAATTCCAAGACAACCCTGATGTATGCGCTAGCAAAGAATTTACCAACGTACCAAGTGAATGGCACGGTTATCCTCGGTACTTCCCCGAATAAAATTACGGATGAGGCACTCAATATCGTTACAAATACCTTTAGGCAGACAACAAATTTGCATCGCATAGAATGAAAGAGTCGCCAAGACGGATTTGGCCAACACGATGCATCCTGCCGTGGAAAGATGTTTAGCTTTCCAACCTGTCAGTCGATCTCGAACCTTTTAGACAAGGTAATGATATGTAGAGTGAGTAACACGGCGATGCAAGAGTGGTACCACAAGGTACTTCCCTAAATCATCAACCGGAGTGAATTGGAACCCATGGCTAACATCACTTCTTAAAGCTTCATCAACATTGTTTGAGAAACAAATATTAGTTTTTGATAAGCTGAACTTATGGCCTGATACTTCACAAAAATCTCCAATTACTCGTTTTGATAATATCAAGCTGGGAAAGCGAAGCCTTCGCAAAAAGAACGAGGTCCTTCTCTGAAAATACGAATGGGCTTCCAAAGATTATCCTCTACTGATCGTTTGATTGCTTGTGCAAGGCGTTCCATACAAAGAACAAATAGGTAGGGCGAAATGGGTCACCTTGCCGGTTCCACGAGAAAGGCTTTGTTTCATGGCGATGATGACAAAGAAAGGCTATGTCAAGATATTTCCCAGTGAATTGGGCCTTCACAATGGCACCAATGTCGAAAACACAATCAATGGATATGAAAAACTGCTATAAAAATTCAGGTTAATCCAAAATTTTGAATATCAACTTTTTTAATTTTTTATCTTCAATTTATTTTGTGTGAGATGCATCACAATGTTTATCTACACATCAAACAATATATATCAATAAATCGACTGAACATTTTATTAGAAAATTTAGAAAGCTAATAAAAACAAATACAGAGTCCCCAAAAACAGAGTGTTTGTAGAAGGGAAAGAAAAGAAAAAAATCCTCTACTACTTTATCCCTTTATTTTTTATGATTAATTGTATTTTACTCCTCATTTTATATAATTAATTATATGTTATCCTCTCATACTGATTGAAGACACCAGATTTTGTCTTTTTGATATTATATAATATACTTATATTATATAATATATTTTATTTTATTACATATATCGTATTTACATATATATATATTTGTTTTGCAGTCTGTCGGGCCCAAATTCAAGATCATATATGGCCCGACAAATACAAGAGGATCCAACAGAAGGCCCGGTTGGTGATCATCAGCTTCCATGTTGAACCCTAGCGCCGCATCCTTTGTTTCCAGCCATGCAAAGACCCCATGCCTCACGAGTCTTCACTGGTCACGCCTCTCCCCCGTAATTCCTGACAACAAACCACCTTCGTGGATATGTGAGACTCCAACCCCGGAACGTACAACGCAAGGATCTCGGCATCAACACCAACAACCAACAAATAGAGTTAGAATGGGACTCTGTAACCACATCTAAAAATAGGATTTTTTTTACTCCTATAAATATCAGTAATCAAACCCACTTGAGGGGGATTTTTTAGACTGAATTCACATACGAGATCACTGTGTAACATTCACCCACACACGATAGCCAATAAAGTCCAAGCCCTTGTAAAGATTTTCGAAAAAGATAATAAAAAAGAGGTAGCTTTTTTTTTCTTTTACCTTGTCTGTTCGGTTTCTCACTTTGCATGTTGTATCTCCTGTGTTGTTTGGTACGAATCGAACCCATAAGTTGCTTTTTGGCCGAGGACGAAAGGAGGCCCTTTTTTTGTTGTGTGCGTTTTTTTCTTCTTCTTTTTTAGATATACACTTGACAGGGTTAATTTTTGAAAAATGGTCTCGATCTTTGAAAAGGGAATTCGAAAAGCTTTAAAAAAAAAAGGGTAAACTTTTTGGGTTTCGTCGCCGTTCAAAGGCGGCGGCGAGGCGGCTTGGGTCACAGAATCTGGAAGTTCGCGGCGGCGTACATGTGTTCTTCAAGAACACAAGAACATTACAGAGGAAAATGGAGAGAAAAGGAGGGGAGGAGATGAGCTTCAGTTTGGGTTTGAGAACAAATGAATTCTTAAAACAGATTTTTAAGTTAAATACGCGACCCGTGGAGCCAGCTGACCCGACCCGTTTCATATCAGATCCACGTGTTTTCACGCAAAATAGGGGCAATCTCAGTTTTAGTCCTTTTATCTTAAATCCTTTTATTTTTCCCCCCTAAACCGATTTTAAACACCGATTTGCTTCTAATTTCACCCTACATTTTATCGTTTTTCCAATTTAATCCTTTGTGAGTAATTATTATATTTTATTATTTTATTTCCTTTTTATTTTTTTTATTTTTTTTCTAATATCTAATTATGTTTGTATTTATGAGTGTATTATTATTATTATATGCACGTATTTTCTATTTATGTGAAAAAAATAGTATATTTTATTAGGCTACATATATATTTTCTTCCTCTTATTTATTTTATTAATATTAATATTAGTATTTGTATATACCTATATATTACCATTTGTCTTCTTTATATATATATTTTCTTCTTGCTTTTTTAATATGTATATATTATTCTCATTGTTATTTTCCTATTCTTTATTTATTTCATTTTTCCCCCTCATTTTATTTATTTATTTTCTGTTATTTTCGGTTTCTTCATTATTTATTTTCATTTGTTTTTCCTAACACATTTTTTGACTTTTAAAGGGTACGATTTCAATCAATCAGAGGTAAGCAATTTTGGATCGTGATTTTACCTTTTGAATTAAACTTTCAATTTTCTTACTTAATGACAACTGGAAATTACGTAGTACCGAAAGGGCGGTTCAAGGGTGCTAATCCTTCCTTGACCGTAACCGACTCCCGAGCCCGATATATTTCTGGTAAGACGCAGATCAGGTAAGAAATAGGGTATCCGATCAACCCATTTATCTTTAAATAAATGATCGGTGGCGACTCCAATCCACATTTTTCAAGTCGAAGCCCAATTCCGGGGCCCAACTGAAAGACGGTTGTGACACTGATATTTTGACTTCGTCCCTTATCCTCTACTACTTTATTAATCTTAATTTTAAAACAAGTTTAAATAATTTATCATATATTAAGTATTTTTAATTATTATATACTTTAAAGTTATATTTTAAAATTTACTAGATTAAAATTTTAAGTATTTTTAAATTTACTAGATTAAAATTATAAATCATTATATATTTTAAGCATTTTTAGTGACAATCTATTTTTATTTTTTAAAATTTTATAAATTTATCTTTTCTAAAAATTTAAAAATTTATTTTTCTTAACATAAAATCTCCTATTCATTTCTATTCCGGTTAACATTTCCCCGGTCCATTTTGATAAAGTACAAAAACTCTTCTGTTCACACCTTCTTGCACCTTTTGATTTTATTGTTTCAGTTTCACCACCGTCTTTTGTAATTTTTTTTTTAAAATGGTTGAATTTAAATTTAACACGTATCTCATTTTGAATCAAATCCAACTTATATATATTTGGCTTTATATCTAACTTATTGTTTAAATGCATAACTGAAAGTTAATAATGTAATAAGCATTTATTAACAGTTTAATTATATGTATCCATTTAAGATATGTAACAACAACTTACTAAAGCTCTAATTACAAAAGATAATGTAACAATTATTTATTCATTTAAGGTTTTTAACGATGGGCTCCAGTTGCCATCTAAGACTATACTTTAAAAGAAAAAAATGAAATTTGTATGTACGTGTTTCTTAAGGAATTTTGTATTGGAAATATACGAAAAAAGAAATTTCACGGAAATCAAAACGAAGAAGAAAATAGAAAAAAATGTGAACATGAATCTTCAATTAACTCTGAAAGTATTGTATTTGAAAGATTATTTATATTCGAACCGATGCTTGAATATCTCGTCGACGTCAATATCGACATCGTCATTCATGCCGCTTAACAACCAAGATTTATCAAGTGAAGAAGTGTTTGCCAACACAACATTGGAAGAACATCACTTGTTGTGATGGGATGTTCTAATTGTTTAATATATGTAATGGTATCTGAAATAGAACCCAGTTGTCTTAGATGTCACACCTCTATTCTCATTGATATATTTTGTCCTATAGATAAAAAATCAAAATAATTCATACATTTGACAATGAAAATTCATACATCTGCATACGTAATGCTCAAATCCATGACCTAAACTCGGGACCTTAAGAGATAATAAATCTCTTAACCACTCTTAATCACTGAAATCGTTTAATTCATACCTCTTACATTCATAGTGTTCGAACCCGAAACCTCAAAAAAATCAATAATTCATTTATCACCCATTGGTGTATTTATTTTTTGGTATTTTTAGTCTGTTTTGCTCATACCCGTGATTTTCACTAGTCGATATTTTTTGGTTTGCATCATTTCAAGTTATTTTTTGGGTTTCTTGTCTATTCTTATACACGTCTAGTAAATGACTGTAGACAATTGATCACCTTTAAAAACTATTATCGAAGATGAATAATTATTTTATGAGAACTTTTATATTTTTATAATAAGGGATGGTTGTGTATATGACACTAGAGCTTGATGTGAATCATACTGTAATTGTATAATAAGTGACCGGTTAATGATTTGTAGAAAAAAAATGTGAGGCAAGAAAATTTTCAAAATAGGCACATGCCCATCCATGAGTATATGATTTCAACATTTGGATTTACTCCAATAGCATGCATTTAACGGATTGTATTCATTGCTTTGCTCTCTGGTTAAACAAATGTCAAAATGAGAATTTACAGCCGTAAATAACATGGACGTCAATGGACATGAAAAGCTCAAAGGCTTATTTATAATGAAAATAATGCCAGGAATCAAATTAACAAGGTTCATCGCATCCTTCTGGTGAGAACTTGAACACAAATGAAGTTGAGTTCAGCTGACACAAGAACAAGTCCACCACAACATAAATCATAATTGGTAGATTGAAACGCTGTAGACTGTTATACCTCGTGAATAAATCCGTCGTAGAATACTGCTACCCAATAACATAATTTAACTGTCTAAATTACCCATCACTGGGAATAATCGTTTTAGTGTTTTTTATAAAGACAAATAAAGTGCTTATTCCGTTCTTTGTTCTCAATAAAGTGTTTTAAAATCATATAAAAATAAAAATTATCATTAAAGCTACCAACTTTTAATTTATCGACAAAACTTTATATACTAAAAATAAAAGAAAAGGCAAAGTTAAATCACATGCAAACCACTTTCCCATACAAAAGACCAAAATTTTGCCTCACTAACAAGAAAAGAATAACCCCAACTTCCACTTGTATATATATAAAGCTTGATGGCTGCTGCCTTAGTTTGATAGCTCATGATTGATCAAATTCTTTGCTTTTCTTGATATCTAGATGAAACCCACCGAGCTTGAAGCTCTAAGTGTTTTATTTTCATTTCTTGATTCCCAGCGTTTGGAAGTAGTTTGTGTTTAGATTTGTAGTTAAAAACAGTAGAAAAAAGATGAGAGCTGGAGTTTGCACTGTGCAGCAAGCTTTAACAGTTGAGGCTGCGAGCATGGTGAAGCAAGCAATCGGCCTCGCTCGACGGCGAGGCCATGCGCAAGTTACTCCACTTCACGTCGCGGGCGCTATGCTCGCGACGTCCACCGGTCTTCTTCGAAGAGCTTGTCTTCAATCTCATTCCCATCCACTTCAGTTTAGAGCTTTAGAGCTTTGCTTCAATGTCTCGCTCAATCGTCTCCCTGCATCCACTTCTAGTCCTTTATTAGGCCCTCATCACCATCATCCTTCCCTCTCCAATGCCTTGGCGGCCGCGTTTAAACGCGCCCAGGCTCACCAACGCCGAGGCTCCATCGAGAACCAACAGCAACCGATCTTAGCTGTCAAAATAGAGTTAGAACATCTCATAATCTCCATCTTGGATGATCCGAGTGTTAGTAGGGTTATGAGGGAAGCCGGTTTCTCTAGCACCCAAGTTAAAATCAAAGTAGAACAAACAGTTTCTTTGGAGATCTCTTCCCAAACTCCCTCCACAAAGGAAAACAACCCCATCCCACAACCTCTCGGTTCTAACCCGAACGCTCAGACTCAGTTCGAGTTCGGGTTTTCATCGAGCAAACTGCTAGACCAAGTTAGGAACGACCGAGATGTGACCAATGTTTTGAGCACGATGATGAATAGGAAGGGAAACACCGTCATCATAGGAGAGTCAGTCGAAATTGCTGAGAGTGTTGTTAGAGGAGTGATGGATAAGTTGGAGAAAATGCAAGTCTCCGGGGATTTAAGATACCTTCAGTTAATCAGTTTTCCACTGTTTTCACTCAAAAATCTCGGTAAAGATGAAATGGAGCAGAAGCTTGTAGAGCTTAAATGCCTTTTAAAAAGTTATATGGGAAGAGGGGTTGTCTTGTACTTAGGTGATCTCAAATGGATTTCAGAGTTTTGGTCAAACTATGGTGATCAAGGAAGGAACTACTATTGCCCGGTGGAGCATATAGTTATGGAACTCAAAAGATTAGTGAGTGGGAAATTGTTTCTCATGGGAATTGCAACTTTGAAAACTTACATGAAGTGTAAATTAGGCCATCCTTCTCTTGAATCAATTTGGGAGCTTTATCCTCTTTCAGTTTCAGCTGACAGCTTAAGCCTCAGTCTTAATCTTGAAAGGTAAATTATTTGATTTATTTTCTCGAGAAAAAAAGGGTTGTTTGTTTTACTTATGGCTAATTATGCTAATCATTTTCTTTTCCATTTTTTGCTTTATTCCAGCTGCGATTCTCAGCCTCAGTATAGAGCAAAGGAATCTATAGATTCCATTACTAGGCCAGTGGCTGAAGCTGAAGTAAATAAGAATCAAAGTTCCTTCACTGGTAGATTGTTCAACTTTGACAATGTCGTCTCTTCCAGTTCAAGTTTGCCTTCATGGCTGCAAAGCTACAAGGAAGAAACCAGAACAAATCTTTCCCATGATACTAAGGTATTTATCCTTCTCCTTTGAACTTCAGTTTGCAGAATTAAGCATTGAAACAAGTTAAAATTCACATTTTCTTTTGCTTTTTTATTTCACAGGAAGCTCTTAATCTAAGCTGGCCAGTCATTTTTGAATCCAAGAAGTCACCTAAAGAGATCCAGTTTTGGATATCTGAAAATGACCCCAAGCCGGAACTCCTCTCGAATCCGAACTCTAGCCCGAATCCGAACTCTAGCCCGAATTCGGCTTCTTCGAGTGAGGCGATTGAGGAGGATATCAGCGGATTTAACGCGTTCAGGTCTCTTAATGCTGAAAACATGAATATTTTATGCAATGCTTTGGAGAAACAGGTTCCATGGCAGAAGAATGTGATTCCTGAAATCGTTAGCACCATCCTAGAATGCAGGTCGGGGATGAGAGAAGGCAAAAGCTGGTTAAACCAAAGAGAGCTCAAAGAAGAAACTTGGCTATTCTTCTTAGGATCCGACAATGAAGCCAAGCAGAAGATTGGTAGGGAGTTAGCTAGACTCGTGTTCGGTTCCCAAACCAGCTTTGCCTCCATAAGCCCGAGCGATTTTGGATCGAAAAGGGCCGATTCGAACCAAGATAACAAGAGGAAGAGATCAGATGAGTCAGGCAACGGTGATCATGTTCTTCATAGATTCGGCGAGGCGTTGAACGAGAACCCTCACAGGGTTTTCTTCGTGGAAGACATGGAGCACGTTGATTACGGCTGTCTGAAAAGGATCAAGCAAGCAATTGAAACCGGAAATGTGACTGTTCCTGATGGTGTTACGGTTCCTGTAATGGATGCCATTGTCATTTTCAGCTGCAAAAGCTTCAGTTCGACGTCGAGAGCTTGTTCTTCGAGGAGAAGGCCGAAATGTAGTGACACAGAAGAGATGAAAGAATCAGAAACAGAGCAAGATAAAAACCAATCTGTTTCTCTGGATTTAAACATTGCCATTGGAGATAACAGTGAGGGAAGTGACCATGAAATTGGGATACTGAAATGTGTTGATAACCAAATTGTTTTTAAAGAAGAGTAACAGCCGGGGAAGAAGATGGTGATGAAGGAGGCAATTATTTCTCTCTTTTTTTTTTTTTTTTTTACTTTGATTTTCGTTTCACTTACGTTGTGTGTGGTATATCTCTTTGGAGGGACGGAAAGAAAGAATGAAACTAACAGTGAAATTGTGGTTAGGAAATGACAGATTTAGCAATGTACAACTCATATTGTTATCACTGTATAATTATGTATCTTTAATCCTATTGTTAATATATGCATGTACCAATGATAGAGACGGTTGCATTTTAATCTCTAGTACTTTCCTCTTGCTCTGCCATTGTTACCTTCATTTTCTAAGATCATTATTTGATTCAGGTATCAATAAAATTAAAATTATTTAACCCAACTATAAACATGCATTTGAAAATAGTGTTTGGGGGGGGAACTAGTTGAATGTGAAAGATTCATGCCGTGAGAGCCATGCAAAGTAGCGATCATACTTCAAAATAAAAACAGCATATTCTTCCATAAATAATAAAGATCACTTCTTTTCATGAATGGATAGTTGATTTAACTTTTCTTTCCTTTTTTTTCTTCTTCTTCTTTAGTTCCAGTTAAGTATTTACAGCTTAACAATCCCAGCCCTTGAAAGGTATCGGCGGGATGATCAAAATCTAGAAGAAATAAATATGAATAAAAAACAAAGAGGGAGCATCTAAATCTTTAGACCAAAAAGATGTTGCTACTTTAGCATCACATAAAGGAACTTCAACTTTACAACTTTAATTACCAAACTTGGGGAATATTTGTTGCTTTTTAAGGGATTTTTTTATTAATTCAGATGTGATTAGGATGTTATATTTGTTTAGCTTTTCCTAGTCATTGATAATGTATACATATTTTGAGACATATTTGTTTTAATTTCAAATCTTTACGAAAAATAACATTATTTTCTACTGCTGAAGTCACTTGAGAGTTCACTATTTGTACTTTTCTTTTATAAAAAATATCTAATGATTTAATCAACAGGGGTTTATTCTAGTAGTAAAATGTTCGATTCCGTTTAAACAGATCTCGAATTTGAGTCATTGTAAATATAAAATATCCTTATTGAAAAACTCGTCTATCAAAAGATGCGAATTCATCCGACTATATGTATAACTAATTCCACCACTTATGACGGAAAGACAGAGTAAATTGCATCAAATTAAAACATATATTTTATTCTATTTGCTTAGACATGATCTCGAGTTCTGTTCCCATTAGCAAATTGGATGATAAAAAAAGCTTCTTTTTTTTTTTGGAAAAAGCAAATGGAAATCTTTATAAGATTATAAAACATATACATTCATCGTTAATGATTGAATAGTAAAAAGGAAATCTTTAATAAGTTTTGGTCACCTGTAAGCTCTGTTTTACCTTTTTAAAAAAAATTAAAACATGGTTGTCTTTGTAGTTAAAAGAATGATTTTTATTATTAGGAGTCTCAAGTTTAAGCACTAAAGCATACAGAGATAATTGAACATTCATTATCAAATAATTATAAGTATTTAACATAAAAATTATTTTATAAACACATTAACTTAATTAAAACCTCATTTACTATAAAAATAAATAATGTAACAATTCAAAGTTAAAAGCTACTTGGCACCCTCAAACTTTTGAAAAAACTAATATAATCTTTATATTTATTTTGTACTTAATACAATCTTCAAAATTGTGAAAAAATTAATTTAATTATTTGATTAAAGAAAATTATCTGGCATGACAATTAACCATGTTAACCCTCAAATCATCATGTAATATATTATACATGTAATACACTTTTTATATAATATATGTGAGTATACTAAATATGCCTTATATATGTGTGACAATTAACCATCCCTAGCTTTGGCACACTATCTGATTGGATACAAAATAAAATAAATTAGATAATAAAAATTAATAAATTATCCTCCAATCTATTAATGACACGGGTCACCACCTAATTAGAGATTAAATTTATTAAATTGAATTAAATTTATGATTAAATTGATAGAATGCATAAATATTGAGGACCAAATGTATAGTTATACTAATTTTACTAATTGCCACATCAACACTTATGTTAAATGTTAACGGTGAGTGGTTTAATTGAATGTGTTTAAATAGTTGGATGACTTGATTGAATTTTTTTTAAAACGGTGATCAAAATGGGAAGGGACTATATTTAGGTGATCATCGTTATAGTTTACCCTAATAATTTCATTAAGAAATTTAAAATATTTTTTTAGATTTTAATCTTATAATTATGTTTGTTAAATTATTCTTTTTATTAAAGAATAAGTGCAATGCAGACTACTATTTATTAGCTTCTTTTTTATTTTCACATCCTTCAAAAAAAAAAAAAGAAGGAAAAACAGAAATATATTTGTTGTTTTAATTCAATGGCGGCAGCGTTAAAGCAAAGCGGTAGAACAAAATGGAAGGATTTCGGACAAAGCTTGATCTTATAACATAATATTTGGTATGTCGGGAATACTGCAAAATTTGTGATTACTAATTAGTCAAATCAATGGTATATGTGCTTTTGAAATGACCATTCAGCTCAGTTGGTAGAGCATAAGGTTCTTAACCTTGAGGTCGTAGGATCGAGTCTCACGGAGGGCATTTCATAATTCGGAGGTCTCTTACGGAAGTTGCTTTCAACCTGATGTTGGGGTAATTTACTATCTTACCTCCCCTTACCCTATATATATATATATATATATATATATATATATATATATATATATGAAAAAAAGGGACAGTCATTTAATGGTATATGTGCCTCTCTGCGAAGCAACGAAGTAATCCATAACGGGCAAGTATCCTAATCTAAAAACAAAAGACAAATAAATGACATATTTTCACCAAAGACTGTCATGTCTACTTTTTTTTAAAAAAACTGTGAAATAATATATTAAATATTTAGTTTTTAAAATTAAATTATTAATAATGTTATTATTTATATACTATTTTTTTAAATACATGAATCGTTTTTATGTATTTAATGTTTAAATTTAAGTTCAAGTTCAAGCTTTAGTTTCAATCGAACTGAATCTGAGAATAGTTCGAGTATATTTTTTTTGGAGCTTCAGTTTTTGACTTGGAATTCGAGTCTAACTTGACAAATTTAAACTCATAAACTTTCGAGTTTGGTTGAACTCAACCTTAAACTTTTTGAATTGAGTCGAATCGAACTCAATAGACCCAAACTCGACTCTACTTATTTACATCCCGACATCAAATAATCTATTAAAATAACAGTATATATTTAGAACACAGTCAAGGTGGGATAATTTATCCTTTAATTTCCAAATGGCAGTAAGTAACTCACCGCTTTAGTCTGATTGCTCCACCCAAGACCTCAAAACTTTGAAAAGAAAAGATAAAAGAGGGGATGGGAGATGGTTGGGCAAGGAAATGGAGACAAATTTTCCACACATTTAACCCTTTTGCAGTCTTTAGGACAGATAAAAAAAGAAGACAAAAAGCAGTTTTGTTTACTTTTGTTGAATGTATTGCATGGAAGTAAGGGCATTAATTCTGGGATCTCTCAAAACCCACCACCAAATAATCACCGAATAATTGAACCCAACCAACCTGAACAGCACCGCTGCCTCGGATCCTTCAAAACGCTGCTGCTTTATATGTAGAAAAAGACCAGTCAAAAAGAGGACAATGGCAATGGCATCAAAGTTAACAAAAGAATATGAGTGGTGATATAGATTTTGAGTTACCGTTTTTGATATCATGTTGGCTTTCAATCATTGTTTTTCGTCTTCTCTTTAAGCTTTTTCTTTCTTTCTGGGAGATGGAGACTGTAACTTTTTTTAAGTGCTTACTTTTTGTTAAAATGAGATTAGAAGTTTGATCTTGTCAGGTAGTTGTTCAATGATTGACTCATTCAATGGGTATCGATACTACAAAGTGAGTATCGATATTGGTAAGGGCAATATCGATACCAAAGACACTTTGTAAATTTCAATAGTCATTTTTGGTATCAGTACTTGTCCACGTATTGTGAGTACTAAATATGAACGCGAAATATGTGCAAGTATACACAATCGAATAAGTAATACAATGATGAGTGAGTATCGTATCCACAGGGATTGGAGAGATCTTGAGTAAAGTTTATGCACTATTCTAAAGTAACTAAGTATATCTAATGGTATTCACAAATGAGAATGTTATGACAAAAATGAAATGGATGTAGGTGGGAATGGAAAGATGGTGTAATGTAATGTGGCAGCAAATGGAGATGTTGTGGCAAAATGGATAGAAATGTCGTGACAAATTAAATTGTGTTTAGTGCAATCAAATGAAAATGTAAAAGCAAAATAAAATGTAAATACTAGATTTAGTTATCATGACTTTAGACTCCTCACACGACAAGCTACTATGGGAATGAATGATAGGAGTCATTTGGGAAATTTAAGTCTACTTCTCAGAATGATCTTACTTCTATGTCTTATCTGCCCGACAAAGTTTACTAAAGGTTCCCTGTGCTATCTCTAGTTAAGGGACTCGACAGATTGAAGATGTATTGGAAAATCGGTTGGCGTTAGCTACTGCAGGGATCTTATTGGTCCAAATAACAGGATATGTCTCGGCAAAATCTTTTTGCGGCAACATTAACATCTAACCTATCGATCGTGCACTACTCATTTTAGTCGACTAAAATCCTAGCCTTATCTCTAAGGTGGATTAGGCCTAGTTACTACCTAGAACCCCTTGCTTATGCTGTTCCTCCTTAGTTTCTCTTGAACACTAAGGATGTACTACTTAGTCATTCTCTCGAACACTAAGTAATCTCCTAAGTAATGACTACTCTCATAGCTCCTACAACCTTAAGGCATTAAACTTCATAAACAAAACAGATAACAACATATAAAAACAACCATTCATTAAAGTAAAATCAAATATCCATAAGGAACTCCCACCAAATTAGACTAGTTCATGATGGGGTTCGAATGTTGCAAGCAATAAAGCAAGACAGTAATTCGATCCATACAACCCAAAAATGATATAAATAAAACAAAGAGCAAAGGGAAGGAGGAAAAACCTTTGACGTGCATTGCCAAAACTCCCCTCGGCCACCACGAACTATCCCAACGATCTAGCTCCTCTCGGACGCCTAGTTCGCCACTCCCTCTAGCTTGTCA